TCAAGACATCCTGGGAAGTGCCAGGAAGACTGCATTCTATCTCCTCAGGTTACTGACAGCTTCTACTGTTTGACTCTTAAGTTCTAGGAGGACTATGGTCCTTTCTGCTACATAATTAATCACATAAAAATAACTGTGGTTATTTCTTTTCCATCCTCACAGCAACAACTTCTGAGACATTTTCTTTCAGTCATTCACTCAATAAATATTTGTTAACTACTACTGTGGACCAGAAATACACGGTGAACAAAACAAACTGAGGCAGTATACAGTGGAAAAAAAAATTCCTGTTCTCATGAAGCTTATTTTCAGCAGCAGCGGCAGAAAATAAGTCAGGCAATAAAAAGTATTGGGGGTGGGGAGAAAAGAATAAGGATGGTAGAATGGCAGGTGCTGCTATCTGTGGTAAGAGATGCTTTACTGGCACGTCTGGGGAAGAGTGGCTCTATGTCACAATTTGTGTGTGTAAGATCTCACTCCAAACATTTAGATTTTTCTCATCTATAGCTGTAAATGATTATACAAGAGGATCTTCTTAGATATGGCCCTCAATGAAATCATAGGGAAATCCACTTCTTTAAAAAATGTCTACAATAGTCTACTAGGCAGGCGCTGGCAGGTAGGAGAGTCCACAGTCTTGGGCAATGCCGGGACATGTGATGAACATGAAGATATTTTTTAAGTTGTAAATAAAGAATTATGCTGTATAAAGGGTGACCATGCAACAGGAACGAGCTATAAAAGCTGAGTTTGCATGCAGACTATGCTGTCGTAATAAAATAAAACAGATAAAAAAAAAATGATAATAAGAGGTGTCTTAGAAAGCAGAGCAAGTACTTTCCACCTCAAATTCTTGCCTCAGGATCTCTATCACACTTTAATTTCTTTGCAGCATGTATTTCAAAGTGAAATTCTTATGTACTTGTTTAATTATTTATCTTTCCTACGAAAATATAAGTTCTACAGAGGAAGGACTTGGTCTTGTTCACCACTATATCACTAGCATCCAGAATAACACCTGTCACTGAGCAGGTACTCAATAAACCAGTGCTGAAAAAGGAAATTTAAGTGAATGAACGAGAGAGGGTTATACATGTGATCACTCGAAAATAAATAACTTTCTGTCTCTGAGCCTCAAAGTCTGTTTCTAAAAAAATGAAAGGTGATTATGCAATTTCTAAGTCCCTTCCATTCTGTTATTTTATAATAAGATAACAGAATGGGTTCTGAAACTCTATCACTGTCTCGAAATCTGAAATTGAAGGAGCAAAGTGTAAAGAATACAGGCCAAAAAAATACAGGGCCTGATAAAAAGATATGCTATTATCCTTTGTGATCCAGTCAATCCTTTACATCTTCCTTCTTCCTTTACCCCTTACTCAATAAGGACTTAATCTTAGAACTTAATATAATTTAGGGTCAAATAAGAGCCTATCTATCTACTTTCATGCCCCTTCTCTACTCCAGTTACTACTTCTACTTCCACACAGGAAATGAACCTGAAAATACGTAGTTTGGAAGAGTTAGCACAGTGGTGTGAACGGATTTCAGTCAAAAGCTAAAGGTAACTGACATCTTTTCTGGTTTGGCCAGGAAAGGAGAAAGGGAATTGAAAACCAAAAGTAAAGGAAAACTTGAGGAAAGTTGAGAGGCAGAAAAGGGTATTGGGGAAGATAAAGATATTAAGGACTCATTTGCCTCCCTTAGAACTCCCTTAGGCCTGCCCTGTTTATCTTCATCTGTGATAAAGAACCTGTGGGAAGGGTACAGAGGTGACTGTCTTATCCTCAGCATGGGTGAGGGTAGAGAGGATACAGGAAGGGAACACACTAGACTATGGATAGATACAAAAAGCAAGAAAATAGCCCTTCTATCTAAGTTTCTAAATCTGAGATCGGCAAACTACAGCCCAAATTTGGACTACATCTATTTTTATAAAGAAAGTTTCATTGCAAACAGCCAGGCTCATTCTTTTACTATAGTGCCATCTCTGCGTCCCCTCTGTAAGGGCAGAGGTGAAGAGTTGTGAGAGACACGGCATGGCCTGCGAGGCCTAAAATGCTTCTTATCTAGCACTTTACAGAAAAAGTTTGCCAACCCTGATTCAAACCATGTAAGCACCCAATCCTTGGATAAATAACTAAATTCAGCCCAGCCAAATAGTGCTCCAAAGCATCATGTGACTTGTCAGGTTTTCTAATTTCAAATTCTTCCTTAACAGACATCTCCTTTCTCTTTTGGTCACATATGTTGGAGAAAGGGTTAGTCAGGTTTCTCGGTCTTGGAGCTTCTGACGTGTTGAGCCACATAACTCTCTGTTGTGGGGGGTTTCTTGTGTATTGTAGGATGTTTAGCAGTATCTTGGCCACTATCCACTAGATGCCAACAGCACTCCCCTCAGGTTGTGATAACCAAAAGTCTCCAAACATTGTCAAATGTTCCTTGAAGGTGGGGAACAAAATCATGCCCCCACCGAGAACACTAGGTTCAGTAACTAGAAAGAGGTATTACCATGGGGGTGGGGTAGAGGAGGAAGATGTACACAGGTTCCATTTACCTTTCGACCAATAATAGGCATCTTCCTGATGAGCTTAAAGCATTTCTTTTTAAACCTTGACCATAAACCTAAAAAAGAAACAAATGGCTCTATTATCCAAATAAATTTCCATAGATGTGACAAGCCAGTCACAACGTATGAACTATTCAAATATGTCCTCCGCAATCTCACCTGCTTTCAGATCACAAAAGTAGTGTTTCCTTCCTTTAAAAAAATCTTTTAAATTTCATTTTTTAATAAGTACTGTATTTACATGGTTCAAAAAGTAAAAGAAATATAAATACACACACAGAGTTACAAGTTTCTCTCTCATCTACCCCCAGACTTTCATTGTACTCCCAGGTAAACACCACTATTAGTTTCTAGAACAACTTTCTAGAATTTCTTTATACATATACAAACAAGAATAGGTGTTCTTATATGTCTATCTTTTTACACAAAAAGTAGCATACTCTAGCACTGTACTAGACCTTGCTTTTCTACTTAGGAATATTCTCCTAAAGATCAGTGCTTCCTCATTCATTTTGTAGCTGTAGAGTATTTCACTATATAGATATCTCATAATTTATTTAATCTGCCCCTTCCTGATAGACACTTTTCTAATATTTGCTATTACAAACCATGCTGAAATATATAACCTGTAACACACACCATATCACATATATAAGAGAATACCTACAGGATAAATGTCCAGAAAAAGAACTGTTGGGTGGAATGACATATGTAGTCCAGAGTTCTGTACCATCCCAGGGTTTCCAGATGCCAAACATTTCTCTTCCCTCCCCCAAAACAAATGACCAACCATACTTTTTTTTCCAGAATCTAGGCTCCACATATCCTAAAACTTTCTGGACCTAAAAAGGCCTTCAACATCATGAACACCAATCAGATTCCATTCTGTTTGTCAGAATATAGGACAAATATGGAATTCTGACCCTGTCATTACAATAATTATAAATATATGGCACTGAAAGACTGTTATACCTTTAATGAATTCACATTCAATATATCTCAACTGACTCTGATTTTGAGGCTGACATAGAAGGTACTATATATACTATCCAAAGGCAACAAAGAATCAAAGCATTAATAACTTGCTCAAGGCCACAGATTAAATCAGTGATGGAGCAGGGATTTAAATGAAGTCTTTGTTTTTTTAGTAGACTCCCAAGAGTCTACACTGCTTCGAATTCACAATAGGAATTTTCAGTTATCCAAAATGTGTGTAAGACCTAGCTTTCATGCATGACATGGACTGAATATGAACTGTTACTACATTCCTAGGAGATCTGGGCATTCCAATTTCTCTGGCCAGAAAAAGTGTTCTCTCAACAACCATAGAACATATATGTGTGCCTTCTTTTGGTATTCATTATATGGATGCCTTTCATCGTTACTAGTTTTTGCTTAGGTTGTACCCGTCTTTCTAGCTCACCCTATAGTGCCTAGCACTGTAGTCAACACTCTATAAATGTCTGGGACAAAACCAGGTAACTAAGACACAGACTGAGTAAGATGACAAAGGGACTGAAACCACTTATTTGCAGTTACCTTTCTGTTTAAATTGTGGACTATTTCCTTTCAGTCTTATGTTCTACACATTGTAATACATAGCTGATATTTTGCTGTACGTACAATATTGTATACTCTTCTCACTTAGAGCACGTTCTACATTAAAAATTTTTCCTAAACATATTTTTAAATGTTGCCATATAATCCATCAAGTAAGTATAATTTAGTATTGAATATTTAAGCTGCTTGTTATTTGACTATAGCACACCCTTGAACAACATGAGTTTGAACTGCGCAGGTCTAGTGACAACACGTGGATTTTTTTCAATAAATCTACAGTCCCCCACATTCCAGGTTTTCATATCCACGGGTTCAACCAACCACAGGTCAAAACCAGTGTTTGCAGTCCGCGGTTGGGAGTCTGCGGGCAAGGAGGACCAGCTGCACACACTGCTCTGTGCTATTTCACATTAAAGAACTTGAGCTTCCACACATTTTAGTACCCACAGGGGATCCTGGAACCAGTCCCCCATGGATACTGAGGTACTGTCGTTAAGTTTTTTGCGGGTTCAAAAGTTATACAGGGATTTTTAACTGTGCAGGTGGTCAGTGCCCTAACCCTCACATTGTTCAAGGGTCAACCTCATTTCTAACAATGTTAAAGCTTTTATAAGACTCAGAACCACTTTCTTATTTAATAGATGAAATAATTAATTCATGAGGTAAAAAGAGGACTAAAAACCAGCAGACTGAGGCAGGTGTCCAAAAGTTCAGTAATGTGACCAGGGTGGAGGAGGAAAGAATAGACTAATTTGGTGAAAGTGGTGGGATAAATGATACAGAGTAAAAAGAACAGAATACAGACTCATAGGTTCAAAGAACAATCTAATGGTTACCAGATGGGAGGGGAATGAAGGAGGGGCTCGGTGAAAAATGTGAAGAGATTAAGAAGTACAAATTTGTAGTTACAAAATAGTCATCAGGATGTAAAGTACAGCACAGGAAGTATACTCAATAATATTGTAATAACTATGTGAAGTGTCAGGCGGTTACTAGACTAATTGGGGGATTACTTCATAAAGTACATAAATGTCTAACCACTATGCTATACACCTGAATCTAACATAAAATAAAACTGAATGTCAACTGTAATTGAGAAAAAAAAGAATATAGGATCAGAGATTGAGAAACTAAAGATGAAAAGATAATGTGGTTATGACCTAAAAATATTACCTCAAAAGTCCCCAGAGGCATAGAAAGAAAAGTAATTAGAATGTTTTAAGGTAATAAAATAATACCAGTGTAAGAACAATCATGTATGGCTCTTTACAGTTTACAAATTTCTCATACACATTATGCCACCTGATCCTCACACTACCCATGACTAGGTAAGGCAACTAAAAACAGAGAGAGTTTACGACCCGCTCCTATCACATAACTGATTTCTGTTGATGAACTACAGACAATCCCAGTTAAAATCAACACAAGCTGTAGGAATTTGAGCTGATAATCACAGAGCAGAATTCGGGAACAGAGAACACCTTAGGGAGCTGCTATGCTAACTCCTGCCCATCCTCCCACGCCCATCCTCCTCCTGCTTCTTCCCCTTCTTACATCCCCTGGCATCCATTCTGTGTTCCAAAATCACCCTTTCCCCTTCAGAAGGGTATTCAGAGTTTCAAGATCAGCAAAATTTATCACTAGTCCAGACTTTAGACTTCTCTAGGGCAATATACTAAAAATAACTCAACTATTTAGTGATGTATAGAATACTTCTACATGAGCAAGGTGCTAAAAAAACTGAACTTTTATCAAAATGATCTCCGATGTCTGGAGGGAAGACATTTTTATCTGAGTCTAAAATTCAAGTTGCAAGTTACAAAAGGAGTGTGCTGTGTGTGTGTATGTGTTAAACTATATAAAATGGGCAATATTCAACAATTTTTGACCTACAAAAACTATACTTTGGTTCAACTTGATTCAGATATAAAAAGGAATATAGACATGTAAATAGTGGTTATCTCTAGGTAGCAAGATTTTAATTTTGTTCTTATGGCTTACCCATATGTCAATTTTCTACAATAAACATATACTACTTTTGTAATAAGAAAAAATGTTATTAAAAATAAAACTGAAATGGTTTGGAGTTCAGGTCACAAAGTTTAGATGGCACACACCATTTACATACTACTATTAATTTTCCTCATGGAATACTCAGAGGCAACCATATTCTTTTTTGAACACTAAAGGCGCTAAGTACCAGGACCAAAGATGGCTGTGCTTCTTCTCTTCTACCAGTTAAGCAAAATGCACATGGGCACCATGGGCCGCAGAACAGAAATAGAGGTAAATACCTAAAGCTAATACTAATCATAGCAAAGAAATATAAATTTCAAGATCTCTAACCTTAATACGGTTTTACAAATGCACCACTCTAAGAGGAAAAGTACCTAGAATGGTGGGTGTCAGGAGCTGGGGAGAGGGAGAAATGGTTTTTATTGTTTAATAGGTACAGAGTCTCAGTTTAGGATGATGAAAAGTTCTGGATGGCAGTGACAGCTGCACAACAATGTTAATGTACTTAAGGTCACTAAACTGTACACTTAAAGATGGGTAAAATGGTAAATTTTATCTTATACATATCACGATAAAAAAAGGACATAAAAAAGAACATTTACTGATACTCCTTAGAGTCCTCTGGAATAAGTCGCTTCACCTGGAAGGACAGGATGGTGGCACCACTGAATCAAATGCTATCCAAGAAAGGAACAAGCATGAAGAGAAAGACAATGGTTGCATCCATTTTGAAACCACAGGGCAGATGCAGCAGAAGCGTCAGTCAGTCTAATTTGTCAGTTTATGAGAAAATCTTGCAAGGACTAGGAGCAGAAACTTGAGGACAGGGTTTTTAAAGCTGTAATGAACTAAAATTTAGATAGGGCACTCATGTCTTATTTCCATTTTAAGTGCAATGTTTACTATGCAATGTTCCTAGAATGGTTCAAAGGCTATCTGCATGGTAGAGATAAAATAGAGTCTAACTTCTAAGTTGACTTTCCTAGGAGAAGAAGAAAAGCAGAAAACAGACAGTTAAAGAGCCCCTTCAAGCAGATGTTATCAGGGAAACAAACAGCTATGAAAATTTTAAACAAACGAGAAATGACAAGCACATCTCTCCAATGTTATTGGTTTCTTATCCCAAGAATGTTAACTTGGATATCCCTAGTAAGGGTGGGCAAGGAGTACAGAGCAGTGTTACAGAACAGCCACCAGCACTCCTACCATTTACTTACCAAGCGCAGCCTGTGGGGGAGAAATAATTCACAAGGAGGAAACATGCAACCGTGTCTTTTTGGTGGGCGGAGCGGGACCTTAGGAAGGGTAGAGGATTTACAAACTGATCGCTAATAGACTTCTCATCTTCTGCACACTGAGAAGTGGCCTTCTCTTCCTGTCAATCTGGCCCTCTGAGGTACTTCCCAGGAAGCTCAAAGTGCATTGTCCCGTGACATCAGAAGTTCACCTCCAAGAAGACAGGGACTCTCTATCACTTGTGTAGATAACTCCAGAGCTTAGCACAGTGTCTGGTACATGGCAGACATTTAAGTGATCACTGCATGAGTTTTGTTCCAATTTTACATAGTCTTCAAAGGATGTCCTCAAATGAAACAATAAAGTCCTGCTTGGGGAGTTCCAGGTGGTGACACAATTACGTTCTAGGCAAGAAACTAAAACTGAAAAAAGTTTAAGCCAAACTCTGAGATATCTATGGATCCTTACAATGACTAATTTCTCAGGAGTTTTTATGTAAGCTACAAATGCAGAATAATCAGCCTAAGCAGTAACAGTTACACAAGAGTCCTATTATAACTTTACCAGTCAGAAGACAATGTCCCACTTCCCATTTAAACAGTTTAAAAAAATCAGAACCAAACAAAAAGGCAAGAAAATTATTCTAATCCATCAGTCATGAGTTCCAAAGCTAGTAAACCTCCATTATACCTTTATAGAGAGGATAGTATACTTACTCTCTGGCTGGAAGACAAACTCATATATCCAGACTATTAGCAGGGTCCACACGACACTCCATGCAATTAGCTGCCAGGGCTCATACTTAGTGCAATGCCCATTTACATAATTCTTGGCCTTTGTGAAATATACTTCCAGAATCTCGAAGTAGGGCTCAAAGGCCTTCTAGAAATATAAGGGGGGGGGGGGGGGGGGAGAAAAAAGAAATATTACATTCAGAGAGAGAAAGGAAGATTATTCTTAGTTTGTTCTTCAAATCTCATTTTTCAAGGGCAAGGCCATTCATGATCTGGCCCTACCCTGGCAATAATCTTATCATCCTCTAAAGTCCTAAAAGCTTCTGTTTCAGTCTCTCCAGTGTACACTGCCCCTTACAAGTCATGTAGACTTTGACAAGATTTTGATATTCTGCTTATTTTGTGAAATAAAAAGCTTAGCTAGATCATCCTTTCAGCTCTAAAGCTTCTATATGAGTGTAGCAGTCACTGTCCCACTCTCCTAACTCCAATCAAGCCTCTCAATGTCTTTCTCTTCTCGACTTTATTTGAATCGTTCCCATCCTCTACTCCAGGGGTCAGAAGACTGTTTCTGTAAAATGCCGGAGAGTAAATACTTTAGGCATTGCAGGCCAAACAGTCTGTGTTCCAACTACTCAACTGCTGTCATAGCACAAACGCAGTCATGGGCTGTGGGTAAACAGATGAACGTGGCTGTGTTCCAACAAAATTTAATTATAGATGTTAAAATTTGAATTTCATATAATTTCACATATCACAAAATATTCTTTTTATAAAAACAATTTTTAAAATGTAAAATATCATTCTTAGTTCATGGGCTGTTCGAAAACCAGCAGCAGGCCCAATCTGGCCCATAGGCCATAGTCTGCCAATTTCTGCTCTAAGGCCTTATTTGACTAAAAAACACTTGTCAAGCCAGGGACAATACCTGGCACAAGTAAGAAAAAATCCTCTCATCTGAAAATTTACTAGAATACCTCACTCATGAGATTCATCTCTATTAAATTCTCCTCAAATACTCATTTGTGCCTCTACACAAAGCTTATCACGATGTGCCTTGCAGTCTACTCATCTGTTTCTTATCTCCCTGCTTACATGGTTAGTCCTTAAAGACAGATCTTAGACATATTTATAAACCCCCATAGTGCCCTGTACAAAAAAAGTTCATCTGACAGTTTGTTATTCATTCACTTACTCAACATTTATTAAGCATCTCCAGTGTTTCAGGCATTAAGCTGGAGGAGCATTAAGGTAAAGACCATCAGTTCTTGCCCTCACTGAGCTTTAATCTAATGGGAGAGGTCTATGAGTGTACATGTGTATGCACATACACACACATGCATACATGCATACACAGGCACAAACATATATAAACAAATCATTAAAACTCTTCAGCATGCACACTATAAAAGGATGTAAATGAAGTATTAAGACAGATCACTAAGGAAGGCCTATCTAAGTCTACCTAAGAGGAGATGAGAAAGATATGACAGAATAAAATCTAAGCTGGTTAAAAGGGTAAAAGAATGATCAAAGAAAATTCTCTAGGCAGAAAAGTCAAAGGAAAAAAAGCCATACCAAGAAAGAGAATAGCAGCTGCCAATGCATTAAAAAAGTCTGAGAAGGGCAAAAGGCTCTGTGTGGTAAGAGGCTAAGCTGGATGAGGGCTGGGACCATACCTGTCTTATCCAGCACTAAATGCCCAATATACAGGAAAGTCCTGGCACACAATTTGTACTGAATAAAAACTAAGTGGTTGACAATGACCAAGTAAATGAGTAAATACATCAATCAGAGCACTGAGGCTGGGAGAAGTACTCTAAGTCCAAACTGAAAATGATTTTTATGGTGCCAGGTGGGTACTCAACTGATCAGGGGGATCACTTTGTAAATTATATAAATGTCTAACCACTATGCTGTACACCTGAAACTAATACAAAATAATATTGAATGTCAATTCTAATTGAAAAATAAAAATAAAAATAAATGGTCTTGAGAATAAAAAGCATGGGAGTATAAATCGATAGGTACTTTTTGTTAAGTGATTTGTCAGTGTCTGCAACATTTTAAATGTATATTTATTTTAACCCAGAAATTCCACTTTTTCTCACCTACAGACTTGCACGTGTGTACAGAGACATGGTCAAGGATACTCACTTCAGTTATTACAACAAAAGAAAAAATATAAATGTCCATACATAGAGGAATGGTTAAATAAACTATGATACACACATTTTATATACCCATACTGGGCAGCATTAAAAAGATAGATCTAAATAAACTACATGGGAAAATTTCCAGAATATAATGTTCGGTAAAAAAAAAAAAAAGCAAATTACAAAACAACAACAAAAAAGTCATGAGTTATTATCAGGAGAGTAACTTTTTTTTTAACATAACTTGGTGAAAGATGAGAAGCAGGGCAGAAATTAGGGAAAAAAATTCTGTTAAGATGACTGTTGAAAAAGTCCAGGGAAAAATTAAATTGGGTTGACCTTAAACACTATGACATTAGGGACAAAAAGCAGTATCTGTCTGAAAAACATTTTTGGAGGTGGAACAAACAGGGTTTGATAACTAATTAGATATTGGAAGTATAGAGTGGGAAGAGTACAAATAATTCCAAATTTTCAAGTTCAAGGTTGAGAGACCAAGTAAGTGTATCACAGTTAACCATGATAGACCAGAACAGGAAGGGAAGCGGAAGAAGGAAGGAGAGATTTGAGAAAAAGATTATAATATTGGTTTGAGTTCCTGTTGGATATCTACACACAACATTCTAGCAGGAGCATGAAAGCTTAGGAGGAGTACAGGTGTTCAACAAATGTTTGTTGAAAACATGTATACCCTTAGCAATTAGGCTGCGGTATAATTAACATTAGGCAAGTACTGGGTTCCCTAGGGGGCTATCCATAGAAACACAACTTATCTACAACCCTCTCCTAGCTCTTGATGGCCATTCCCCAGAGCCCACTATTGCTATCAACAATCTCAATCCTGCACACCAGAGGCAGTGGCAATGGCAATGGCAATGGCAATGGCAATGGCAATGGCAGGGCTGGTCAAGACCTGAGAAAAGACCAGAGGAGTCTATCACCATCGAACAAATGTCATGATTGCCATCATTATAAAGAATCTTCTACTGTTAAAGCTGTGATCAAACCAAATGGTTAAACAGTATATATGAATGGGATGATGGAAGAACAATAACTCAGATCAAGCTTTTTCTCTGGTGATACTATTTCCTAATTTACCCAGAAAATAGAGGTTATTACCAATGTCAAAAGATGACTATAGATATTATCAACTCTTCACATCTCTGAAAAATAAAGTAATATAACTAGTATTAGGGAGGGAGCAAAGAATCAGCAAATGAAAATTAATTTATTTTTTTTAAAGCCTATTCAGATATGAAGGCATTCCTTGCTAACATTTATAAAAGTATATTCAGCAAGAATATATCTTTTTGATAAGTGATACAAGAAGATAATGGGAGTCCTTGAATTCAAAGTCCTTGAGTATACCTCCCTAAGAGGAAATATATTTTATATTCTCTTACTCCAAAGACAAAATGTTACTGTATTTGGATGGGTCCTACCAAGCTTTTTGAATAGGCAACTAATTACTCACAGAAATTATATCTCCTGGCCTCATACCAAGGTCCAGCCTAGGCTCAGTCCCTGATGAAAAAGCAGCTTACAACACTGACAGCTCATTGCGTTATAGGGATCTGTGGGGTAATGTATGCTATCTCCTTGGAAAAAAGAATGAAGCAGTTCCTTGGGACCTTGCAAACAGCACAAACCCCAGGCTGGGTCCTGATGCAATACTCCAGCCCTTGGGAAGCATACAATATAAATACTAAAGGGAACTTCAGAGATCAAGCCCACATTTTCACTTTACAAACAGAGATCCCAAAATGAAACTATGTGCCTAAGCTTCTACAGGCAGGCTTGTGTTAGAGTGAAGATTAGGAATCGAAGCCTCCTGTTTGACTCTTCCAATTCTTTATTCTCATAGGCAGAGAATTACCTAACGCATTATATTTCAGTGTCAGCCCAAGGGTTTTCTTTTCACAATTTATGTTCTTGGCAGAATCTACCTTAAACATATGGTACGGTTCATAACAACTAAAATTGTATAGCTAGGTCATGACTACTGATAAACACCCAAATAAAGATGGGACAAGAACTTATTATAATTACTATTTCCCACCATGCATTTTTGCTTACAGTAAAACATCTGTCTATATATGCCTGTATATATATTTATAATTACACCTGTATATATATCTATAATTACTTAAGCTTCTGTTTATTTCAACCTAATCTACATATTGTGTTTCTGGAAATACAAGAACTATAAATGAAGGCCACTAGCTTATTGTGTAACTCCTGGCAAATTATTTCACCAATTTGTGCCTACAATCCTTTATCTAGAAGGGACACAAAATAACAGTCACAAAGTAAATAAAGTGTGTCTGTGTATATGTCTGTAGGTATCTCCAACCCTCGTTTAACAGACAGTAGTTTTGGTAAAACTCCCACAAGTAAATAATTCCTTCCTTCACACTGTTATAAAATTGAAAATGTACTCCTCTAGAAAAAACATAACACTTTGCCCAAAGAATGTATGTCAAATGATAGTAAAGAATACCATAAGTCTTTTGAAAGTATATTATTAAAGGAAAAAACAAGATAAACCTTAGTATTATGAAGAATCAAAATTTTACCTACTTTAAGAAGCTATTACCAAATAATGATTACTAAATGATCAGACTTTCTCTTCTTATTCATTCTATTTCCAATTTAATGACTTAGGTGTTAGCTGATGCCTAAAAGACATCAAAATAGTACTCAATAATCCTAATCATTATTAGACAAAAGGCAGCTACTAGAATTTATGGGAGTTTAGTACTCTACTATTCCCAAACATAATGAACGCTTTCAGCACCCAAAACACTTTAAGGAAACAAGACACTTTCATGAATGTAACATGATAGTGGAAGTCCTCAAATTCTGTAAATTCGGGGCATGTTACTTGTTAGATCCATGAGTTTCAAACTTTTCCAAAACAGTTCCACAGAAATGTATTTTACAACACAATCTAGTACACATATCAAAAAATATAAAACCAAAAGTTTCCAAA